AAAATTCCAATATTCGCTCCCAACAGGCGGATTGACAACAACCTTCTTCCGATATCCACAATTTTGCACATTCACAGCAAAACCGTCCCGTCTGTCAAATTTGCGGAAAAACTGGACACACCGCTGAAAACTGCTGGCATCGTCAAAATCTTAACTATGCCCCTCCCACGAACTCCAGAGCTCTCTCCGCTCAACAGCAACTCGCGGCTATGAACGACTGGATTCTTGACTCTGGCGCTTCATCCCACCTCACGTCCGATCCTACAAACCTTCAACAATCTGCGCCTTACACCGGATATGATTCTATTTCTATTGCCAATGGCAGCAATATGTCCATTCAGAACTCGGGACAAGGCTTGCTGCCGCTTCCCGAGTCTCAGCGTAAGCTCTATCTTAAACAAATCTATCATGTTCCTTCTCTAAATCACAATTTACTTTCGGTCTCTAGCCTAGCATCCGATAACAATATCTCTATATCTTTTACTCCTAACGAGTTTATCATTAAGAGTTTACAGGACAACAGGGTTCTTCTTCGGGGTCCCAAGCTCAATGGGCTAAACCACATTAAAACTCCAGTCCGTTGCAACAAAGCAGGGCTCACGCCGTCTGGCTCAACTAACTCTTAGTGGCACGCTCGTCTTGGACACCCACATAGCAGGAAGCTTCAGCTCCTGTCCAAACTGGATCCGGACATTACCAATTTCTCTCTTAGATCTGTTTGTGTCTCTTGTAATGTGTCTAAAAGTCATAAACATTCTTTTTCTCCTCGTAGCTCTATGTGTAATAAACCCTTTCAGCTCGTCCACTAGGACGTCTGGGGTCCGGCTCCAATAGGTTCTTTAAATGGCTTCCGTTATTACGTCACTTTTACTGATGATTTTACTCGATTTACCTGGCTGTATCTAATTCATACAAAAGATGAAGTATTCACTAAATTCCAACAAACTATTTAATCTTCTATTGAATAATTTTAACACAAAAATTCATGCGATACAGTCTGATGGAGGCGGTGAATACACTAGCACAGCATTTCGGAAGTTCTTGGATCATCACGGCATTACTCATCGCATGAGCTGTCCGCACACGCCGGAGCAGAACGGCGTCGCCGAACGAAAGAATCGCCATCTTCTGAATCTCACTCGCACACTTATGCACGCAGCTAATCTTCCCCTATCCTTCTGGGCAGAGGCCGTCTCCACAGCCAATTATCTAGTAAACCGACTGCCGTCATCCACCATTCAAGACCAAACACCTTACTACAGACTCTATGGACGTCAAGCTTCGTATTCTCATCTCCGCACCTTTGGGTGTTTGTGCTTCCCATGGACAAAACCATATGCTCCACACAAACTTGCTTCACGATCTCAGGTTTGCATCTTTCTTGGTTACTCCAGCTATCACAAAGGTTACAGGTGTCTTCAACTTTCAACGAATCGTCTCTATATCTTGCGACACGTAGTGTTCTGCGAACACATCTTTCCGTTCTCGTCTTCAGAAACTCCCAAGATCACCGACCCTGTTCCCAGCTACGTTCCTCCATCTCTTCTAGTTCCTCCGTCAACGATAACAGTTCCACAGTCAGAAAAGCCTCAAGATACCCAGCCCCAATCATCAGCTTTGTCTCCTCTCAGTCCAATCATGAATTGGCGAACGTGTTGGTTCCGGCTGTGCACAAACCCATCAAACCAACACATCCGATGCAAACTCGTCTCAGATCCGGCATTACCAAACCCAAACAGATCTTCAACTTGTCCGCTATTACAAACGACAACATCACTCCCACCACTTACTCAGAAGCATCAAAACACAGTCATTGGCTGGCAGCCATGTCCTCCGAGTTTCTAGCACTACAAAATCAGGGAACATGGTCCCTCGTACCTTCACCATCGGACAAACCCATAATCGGCAGCAAATGGACGTTTAAGACTAAGCTTCTTCCAAACGGTCAAGTTGATCGTTATAAAGCTCGTCTCGTTGCTCAAGGATGCTCCCAGGAATTTGGCGTCAACTTCACCGAGACATTTAGTCCGGTGGCTAAAATGGTTACTATTCGTATGCTAATCACCGTCGCTCTTAATAACCAATGGCACATCACTCAACTTGATATTACAAATGCCTTCTTACACGGTGAGTTACATGATGAAGTGTACATGAAGCAACCAAAAGGATTCGAAGACTCAAACCATCCGAACCACGTGTGCAAGCTTCACAAGTCCATCTATGGGCTTCGCCAATCTCCGCGACAGTGGTTTCACAAACTTACTTCTTCCTCCAGACACTCGGCTTCGAATTTAGCAGGGCAGATCCATCCCTTCTCATTTTCCATAAAAACAATATTCACCTATTTGTTCTTATATACGTAGATGACATCTTAATTACAGGTAATAATCCAGCTCAAATTCAGTATATCCTGAAGCAACTACAATCCGAATTCAAGCTCAAACAATTGGGGGACATCTCGCTGTTCTTGGGAATTCAGGTTATTAAAACTACCACTGGTTATTTCCTGAGTCAATCACATTATGCACAGGAATTGCTTTGTAGTGCAGGATTTGCGGATTGCAAACCTGCGTCCACGACAGCTCCATCCCGTCCATCAATGTCCGTCGATGATCAACCATATGCGGACCCGAAGCTGTTTCGCAAATTGGCGGGATCGCTACAATATCTATCTATCACACGACCCGACATTGCCTTCACCACAAATTCCATATGTCAGCATATGCATCACCCACGGAATAGTGACTTTCAGTCGCTCAAGCGTCTTCTTCGTTATATAAAAGGATCTCTCAGTTTTGGATTGCCAATTCAGACCGCACCCATGATACTTCGCTCATACACCGATGCTGACTGGGCTGCCAACACCACGGACAGGAAGTCTATATCGGGCTTCTGCACATTTCTGGGACCCAACCTCGTCCCTTGGTCGGTTAAGAAGCAAACAACGGTAGCGCGATCATCCACAGAGGCTGAATACAGATCGCTCTCTTCGGCTACATCGGACGTCCTGTGGATTCGTCGCTTGGCTGAAGACCTCGGCATTCCGCAAATGAATCCCATGGTTATTCACTGTGATAACACATCTACGATTGCGTTAGCCAACAATCCGGTATTCCACGCAAGGACCAAACACATCGAACTTGATTATCACTTCATCACCGATCACATTCGGAACAATCATATCTCCATCGCCCACATCTGCACGACCGATCAAATCGCAGACATCCTCACCAAATCTCTTCCAATCGGTCGGTTTCAGCTACTACGTTCCAAACTAACCATTCGGTCACCGAATGGTTAATTTGAGGGGAGCAGTTAAGCACACTGTTATGGTAGGCATTTTAAAGATTTGCCATGTCATTTTACTTTCTTGTTTTCCGTTAGCCTAAGTTTCTATATATTCATAAGCATGCTGTAATAAACATTAAGGGAAATACAATAGCTAGTTTTCCTATTCTTCTTCTCTGTTCCGATTCTCTCTTCCCACCGGTTCTCAAATCTTCACATTCGAGGAAGCAAATCAGCAATCACGGAGCTATCAGCAACCACCTTTAATAACTTCAAATGAGATTCCAAACTTGCAAGCAAGCAGTCAGTCAGAGTACAACTGCAACTATTCAAATATCTCAGCTCAAAGCCTGACAGAGCAAAGAAGATTAGATGATGGATATAATTGGAGAAAATATGGGCAGAAACAAGTTAAAGTTAGTTAGAATCCAAGAAGCTACTATAAGTGCACTTACTCGAATTGCCCAACGAAGAAGAAGGTGGAAAGATCATTAGACAGACATATAACTGAGATCATATACAAAGGAACACATACTATGGCGACGTCCATGATATAAATATGAACTCTCATAGGATGCGAGCAGTTGGACCTGATTATGATGAGGACGAAGCTGATGCTAAGAAATGGTGAGAATACAAGTAACTTCATATATAACCTGTTATTTACTCCATGCTATCATGTAATTTCACAACAAACTGGTAATAATAACCCAGCTGTCAGACTAGAATCAACAAATCCCCACTAAATTAGTACCAATTATTTACTCTTAACCACAATAATAACAATTTATAAGAAAATGCAGAAATTTAATCCAACACACTTCCTTAACAATGCAGAATAGATCTCCTTTCCCGCAAAATTTACCTGCAATTGCAACGTGTGAAGTAGAAAATTTACCTGCAAGTTCAAAAACTTTGATTTACCGCAAAATTTACCTGCAAGTTCAAAAAACCTTGATTTTCAACAACTGGAAAAATTAACAGAGAAGAAGACAGCGTTACCTTACTTAACAACTCTGGATTTGGCCGAACAAGCGCGCGAAAGGGATAAAATTAACTTCAGAAATTCCGAGCTCCTTCCCATGGAAATGTCGAAACTTCCGATCGGAGGCAAACGTAACCTCGTCGAAGGAGCGAACAAGAACGAAGGAGCCCTAGAAGCCTCTCGTGCAATCTTACACCTCGTGCGAAGCAATGAAGCCGAACAGCAACGACGATGATGCGAACTCGAGCTCCCGTCCTTACCTCCGATGAAAATGGCGCAACTTCCGATCGGACAGGCAAAGGGAACGTCGTCGTCGCGTGAAGTCTGAGAAGAAGGAGCCGAAGAATCCTCTCGTGCAATCTTACACCACCTGTGAAGCTATGAAGCCGAACAGCAACGAGGCCGAGAAAATCTTGGTCCAGCGAATTTATCGAGCGGGTTTCTAATTCCCGCAAAACACAGCCTCTTATTACACGCCTAATAAATCGGAGAGTTCCTTAAATTTCGCTCAAAATTAATCAAACAGCCTAATTTAAAAAATACATTTATTTGTTTTACTTTAAACTCCTAATTCAGACAACCAAACAGCCCCTAAATCCGGGATTTAAGGAAAACCAACTTATTATTTTCTCTCCCTATATATAAGTAACTTTCTTTGATCCTTCAAAAATTGCCCTTCATCTCCTTGACTTCTCTCACGCACTATTTTTAGAAACTGACCAAAAAAATGGTTCATAAAGACGTTCCCCAGCCAGAGGTGAAAATAAAATATCCCGTCCGAGTAAAAGAAGAACCCATTTTGGGCCTTTCGGATTCATCTTCACCCGGTGGCGGCGACGACGACGATGCGCCGCAATCTCTGAAAAAAGGGCCCTGGAGTGCAGAAGAGGATGCACTTCTAATGGAGTATGTGAAAAAACACGGAGAAGGGAATTGGAATGCTATTCAGAAGAACATTGGACTTCAACGATGTGGCAAGAGCTGCCGTCTTCGGTGGGCTAATCATCTCCGTCCCAATCTAATAAAAGGATCTTTTACCCAAGAAGAAGAGAACCTTATAATCAAGTATCATGCTGAAATAGGCAATAAATGGGCTCAAATGGCTACATACGTAATTCTCAGTCTCTCTTTAAGTTTCACTTTTTCTTTTTTGTTTGTTCTTATTAGATATTCTTATCTTTTCTAAGATAGTTACCAGGAAGAACAGATAATGAGATAAAGAATTTTTGGAACACAAGACTCAAACGACGGCAGAGAGCGGGGGTTCCACTTTATCCACCTGAGATCCAAGCTCAAATAGCTATGAAGAAGAGGCAAAGGGCATTCATGCTTATGCAAAATCAGGTCCAACGACCAATTAACATAGGTAATGCTGGCAATGATGAGACAAATTACTTATTAAGAAACTTTGATCCCAGCCTACCATGGCAGCAACGTCAAGCATCTACTTTTCCCTTTAAGACGGAACACCTTTCAACCAAATGGTATCCTAACTACATTAGTGATCATCAAAAAGTGTCACCACAACCAATGTCTCTAGCGATGGGGCAAGCGAATAATGCGCTCATTGATGTTATGTTCTGAGGGTCACAAAGACCCGGAGAGCTATTCAATCAAGAATTGTCATTCAAGCACTTGTCGACCAGTGGTACTGTCAATAGGGAGCCATTACCATCGTCGCAGCTGCCACCACCATCAAATATTGAGTATTTCGCCATGAATCCTCTTTATAAGTTGAGAAATTCTATTATCTTTATTGGTAACCTTCTTTATAATGTATCTTAATGGATTATAACTTTGTTCAGAAATTTGATAGGACTTCCAACAACAAAACAGACAAATCAAAATCTATCCAATTTGTCAGAAACAAAATTGATTGATACAACACCGATGCCAACAACTAGGTTGAATGACACATCATCAGTTATGATGGCTGATGATGATCTATGGCTTGATATGCAGCTCTTAGTCTCAAAATTCTCCACGACTAATGATTGGAAATTTGAATCAAGTTCATGGGAGAACACACTCACATAGTATTGGCAGATCAAATTTTCCCCCACATGACTATCTTTCTTCTTATTGGGTATGATTCAAACAATAGTTCAATTCTATGTATTCACCTGCAGTTAGTTTTTTAGTTATTTGAGAGTTTAATTCTTGAAGGTAACACCAACAACAAGAAGAAGAAGTCTTTGTGTCACTATGTGGGGATAATTTTTGAAGGTGACAACAACAACAACATCAAGTATTTGTTCCACGACGTGAGGATAATTCTCAACGTAATCAACAACCCACCAAAACAAGAGCCTTGTCCCAACTACTTGCGGATAATTTTTGAAGGAAGTGCATACAATAATCAAATGAGTCCAAATGCTTAAACACATTTGGTTCTCGGTGCGAGGTATTATAGTATTTTTTTTTTGTGTTAATTGTATACTCTATAGGGTTATCTATACAATTTGATTTATTGGGGAATTTTTCATTAAAGAAAATAACATTTTTTTTATTCTATTGGGAGTGAAATTATATTTGTGTTTAGTTTATTTGAATAGTAGTATATTGTGAATTCAAGACTTTTCTATTTGACTGCAATTTAGAAAAATCTTTTATATAAATTAGATGGAAAATGATTTTATAAATTATTAGATTTATTTGAAGATTAGTAACAAATTACAAAGTATACTTACTGAGATGAAATAATTGTTAATTATTTGGATTGTATCATGTACGGCTTATAATGATGATTATTGAAAATTTTTAGGATTTATGTTAATTTTTGATTTATAATATTATATCATATATATAAAAAAAATTTTATTATCATTTGCAAGGGTGGATCCTAGTTTCACCTCAAATGCCCACCCTAACAAAAAAAAATTTTAATGCATAGAACGACACTTTTGTAAATTTGACCCCCCCCCCCCCTCCTCAAAAAATTTTTGCCCCTATTTAATCAAACCGTGACTCTCTAGCCCCATCCGACTCCCGAGTCTGAAAAAGATGAACGGCTCTCAAAATACCGTTCTGCTGACTCCAGCTTTCGTTTTCGTCCCATTCATTTCGTCGCTTCGCACTTCAGGCAAGCAGCCACAACCTTCTTCTTCGCCCACGATCTTCCTTCTTCCACTCTTCCGGTGCTGGTTGTACGAGAGATTGCCATTCTTGTAGCCTTCGGTCAGATTAAAACCTTCAAACTTGCTGCAATTTAAAAGTACCTTTATCTAATCCAACTATTTTTTTTAAATGATCCATTTTAAACATTCTGAGAATATTTTGAAAAGTTTGAATAGTTTTAAAGAAATGCAAAGAAAGCAAAGTATGTAATATGCAAATTTTTTGTTTTCAAAAAACTTTTAGCGATGAGGAAGAAATCGAAAATTGAATTTTAAAATTAAAAACTTTGCATTAATCTGAAGATTATTAGTCTAAAAAACTGTCAAAAATCAAAAACTGAAATTTTTTTCTGTAGGAAGATTGTTTTTTAATGTTTTTGAAGGAAATGCAAGATTCAAAGTTTGTAGCAAAGTTTTGAAGGTTGGAAAGAATAAAAAAACACTATCAATCCAACATTTCGGGAAAGAATAAAAAACGTAGCAAATCCCTTCAAAAACTTTTCAAATTGAAATTTTTTTTCAGATTGCCCAAAGCGTCGTGTAGCAGCAATAATCTGAACTTTGCTATCTGCATTTCTTCAAAACTCTAAAAAAAGACTATAATGTAGTTTAAAAGTAACAAATAATATTCTTTTTTATGGCATAACGTTTCTTGTAAGCAATAAATTAATAGCAAAGTTATTAGCATTTTTTGAATTTAACACAAACGGTTTGCTAGCATTTACTGGCAGTAGAGTTGGAGAGAAATTTCTTGATTTTTGTTTTTGTTTAGAGATCTTAGAAAGAAAAACAATATGCTTTCAGTGTATGAATTTTTATTGAGTCTAGGTTCAGCATTAACTTACATGATATATACCTCCAATTTTTATTATTTAAAATCAATATCTATATTGGAAAGATAAATGATAAAAAATATTTCTCTTATAAATTTGATAGTATTAATTTGATTAAATTAAAAATAATAATTTTATATTATTATTATTATTATTATTATTATTATTATTATTATTATTATTATTATTATTATTATTAAGTAAAATTTTGCCCATCCTAAAAAATGAATCTGGATCCACCCATATATCATTGTAATGGACTATAGAATGACTATAAAGTTAATATCAATAACAACGACAAGCCTTTGTCCCACTATGTGGGATCAGCTACATGAATCTTTTTTCTCTGTTGTGTCCCATTATAAATCAAATTCTCGTTTAAATCTAATAAAAAAATCATTTCTAATATTTTCTAACCAAGTCTTTTTAGGTATACCTCTACCTTTCTTAGCATAAGTCAAATTTAATACCTATACTTTCCTACATGGTCATCAGATGGCTGCTATTTTATGTGACCAAACCATCTAAGACGACTCTATCTAATCTTATCTTCCACTAGAGCTACTCCAACGTGAAAAGATTGGAGAGACCTTTTCAAACATATTTAATTACTTAAAACAAATGATTCATGAACAAAATGAATAGAACTCTAGATCTAAATCTAGAAGTCTCACAACTCTCCTCTCCTTTGAAAAATGTCAACCTCGATATTTCCAAATCAAAATTAGTCAAAAAAAAAAAAAAAAAAAATTATATAAAAAAAAAAAAACAAATTATATAATCTAATTGCCTCGATCATATTCCTGAGGCTGCTATTAAAATTATGATGGACAAAGCTCTTCGTTTCTTCAATTCTTCGACACTTAAAAGCCACTACCAGGCCCTAATCCTCCTTGGTAACCCCATCTCCCTCTCCATCAATCGAGATCCTCACCTAACGCTTCTTTCACCCATTTGAACGTCTTCTCGTTAGTTCTCATGCATCGATACAATCTCCAGCTTTCGTAATCAACCCCAGCCGAACGAATGCCATTGACTTCTACCCAATATCATTCCAACAACCGAACTCCCCCAACTGATCCTCAATCTCTAGCCAAACAACCCACCGAACCCAAGCAGACTAGATCCATTGTTTATCCCGTCTCTAGTAGCTGGCCAAAATATCCATGACCTGCTCTGATTCCGTCGCAGCGGCATGATTTGACCTCTAGATCCTCGTTGCCTCCAATACTCCCATTCGATTCACCCCGTCAGCTACACCATTCTCTACTTGATCCACCAATAGCTCCACACAGAAGCCTAAATATCCCTCCACTATTACTTCTACAGCAACCTCAAATCACCTCATCGTGAATAGATAGGAGTCGGCATGGCTCAAACTATTAAAAAAGCCTACAGTCATGACATTGACCGAGATATTTGTTTTATAAGTTCATATTAGGCCTTTAATGTTTATAATAAAAAAATTCACTAATAAAGGCACAAAGTCGAAAACTAACTCAATCTTCTGTCGACGAGTTGATAGAGTCGACGATGTCTAACTCATAAAGTAAAATTACTTATAAGTACCACAATGATGGTCGTGTTGGCAAGAAAACTCAAATGTAGGGGACCTAAAACATTCAAAATGCCTCCAAATTCCCAAAAAATACACTCAACAATGTCAATATTTAAAATTTAAATAAAGCTTCAAAATACTTAAAACTGACATACTGACGACATTATCATAGACGCTAAAGTGTTCTACATAGTAAGGTACGATGGTGATGAAGGCAATGATGATGATGGGCAATCGGTAGCACCCAAACAGACATACTGACGACATTATGAGGCTGGAACAATCACTAGTAGAGGTGGTTACTCCTCGAAAGAAAGAGAAGAAGAGCCTCAAGAAATCTCCTTTATTGTTGACATTGTCACGCTAACAAATATGTGAAGAACGATGAGGTAGAAAATGAGGGCAAAATTTAGGGAAATCTTTCAGTTGAATAAAAAAATGATTGAGATGATGACCCAAATGATCATAATGATTCAAATGATGCAAAGAATTGATGTCACAAGTCCTATGCCCACTCCACCTACTGACCCTCCAAATCTCCAAAATCTCCCTGAAGGTGGAAATGAGGTTAATAACTTGATATGCTAGCCATACCTTAAAACATAGCAAGCGTGTCTAAGCTCATAATAGCGACACAACTGGAGATAATCATTAATGAAAAGATTAAGGCTTTCGTAGCTTTAAACTAGACAAAGAAATTAATAGGTAAGGGTCAACTGTACCTGGAAAAGTACATCCAAGTGTCATATCAAAGGGGTATTATAGCCCAAAATTTTATACTTTCAGCAAGCAACACATGGCGCAATTCAAAGCAACTTGCAAAAACACTAAGGGCAGTGATGCCTTACTCTTTCAATAGTTTATCAGTTGTTTAACTTCGACTGTTTTCGAATTGTATGATGAATTACCGAATGATTCTGCGAAGTTGTTCACAGAATTAGAGACTGTTCGTGAAGAGGTTCGCCTGTGCAACGGAGAAGACAACCATTGAAAACCTCACCCTAGAGAAGAAAAAAAGGGAGAAGCCTGTAACCAAAAATTTAACCCGTTGGCATAATTTGAGTATGAAATGTGAGCATCAGCTAGTGGAAGAGCATACAATTTAATTATTGATGGGGAACATCAATGATAATATGAAATCATTCTTATGCATGGCCGCCATAACGATCTGATGGATATAGTGGAAAATTTTGAAAGCTAACTTTATCAACATT